GCTGGGAGACAGGTGGCAAAATATCTTGAAAACAGACAGGGTCAGCCTGTGGCCTGGTGGTGAAGGTGGCCAGATCCCCACGGCCAGCAGGGCAGTCTGGGTCCTGGACTCTGACTTGAGAAACACACCGGGTGCCTGTGTAATGCCCAACATCCCGACGGGACGTGGAAATGGAGGAGAGATGGCGGTGCAGCCATCCCCCATGGGGCTGCTTTCTTGTTTTCCCTCTGTCTCCCTCTCTCTGACAAGCACACATGCCCTCTAGCAAATTTTTTAAAAAAGAAACAAAGACCCTTCATTTTTTTTATAAGTATTTTATTTATTTATTTATTCATTCATTTATATCGGGGCTCTGGGTCCCACCAGGTCGGCTGCACTAAGATGTCACTTACGGCAGGGGCCTGGGGCCACACTGTATCTGTTTGATCTCCAGAGGGGCTGGAGATTGAGTAACGAGGCCAGCCACCTGTGCGCCCGCCCGTAGGAGACCAGTCCTGAATAAAAAGCCTGGCCGCAGGGTCTGGGGGAGCGTCCTGGACAGCCATCCGCACTCCGTGCTCCGGTGACAGCTCTCCGGGAGAGTTCCACACTGTCTGCACGGCTCCCCGCGGAGAAGGGAGTTGGGAGCTTTCCTCTGTAGACTGCAACTCCGAGCGTAATGTCTACCCTAAGCTCTGTGAGTCCTTCTAGAGAATCCCGGGGACCCCTGAACCGAGGTGAATGGGGAGACCAGGAGCTGGTGGGCCACCGCACACGGCGTCTTGTCCGGCGTTAGTGGTGTTAGGCCAGATTGCCATAACCACCACGTTAGACCCTCAAGGACAGAACCCGAGGAGTCTGAGGCCACATAGATGAACCAAGTGCAGGTGGGCCCTGACAACGCCGGGCCAGGTCGACCTGACCGCAACGGAAATCCTAATCTAAACCTAAACATACAACGGCAGCTGGCTTTCACCCCTCCCTCAACTGGAAAATGGCGGACTGTACTTCCTGCATTGTGATTCGGAGCTGTAACAGACCCCTTTAGCTTAGGCTCCGGGTCCTTGCTGAAAGCCCGCTGCGTCGGGCAGAAACTCGGACCCCAGCTAGCTGGAAAAATAAAAGGCTCTTATGTAATTGCATTGTTGTCGTCTTTTCTGCGTCGCCAATGGTTAGATCGATCTCTTGTCTGCGGCGCCAATGGTTAGATCGATCTCAGGACCCTGACAGTGGAAGTCGGCTTTTTCACCGGAGATGGGAAGCACAGAGGAGTGGAGGGACTGGAACCAGGACCCCACCGGAATGCTGTGGGCCTACTGCAGGGGCGGGGCTGAGGGCAGGGAGGACGGCGAGGGGCTGCTGCGGTGAGTCAGGTGGAGGACCACCGCACCAGAGCAAGGCCGCGGGTGAGCAGGGAGGAGGCACATTCTGGACACGTTTCTGTGGTGCGTGGTGGAGCCGCCCCTGTCTGCTGGTAGGCTGCGGTCCTACCCAGGGATGACCCAGGGTTTCTGGCTTGAGTAGCTGGGTGAACACGGAATCGTCATTTCCCAAGCTGGGGGAGTCCGGAGGGACACTTCAGGGGTGGGTGAGAGATCAGAAACTTACTTTTAGACTCGGGACGTGTGTGATGCCTCCTCCTCTCCAGTGGAAGTGGTGGGGAGGCGGTTGGAAATACGAATCTGGAGTTACACCCGTAAGTAGAGGGAGCCCCTACAGATATGACTGGAATAGGCCTTGGGAAGTGTTTCTATTTACATAGGCCTCAATAAATCATTATTCCAGAGGCCCCATGTCACATGGAGGAAGCTCTATAAATACAGTGACACTGCTATTTGGGGAGGCAAATAGGTGTTATTTTTAGGGGGTAGGCTTCCATTAACGTAGCATTTCTTAGCCCAGGCAGTAGTAAATATTCTTTCTATTGGACTCCACCTTGCTAAATAGTCCAACACCTCCGAGAGGCACCAGCACACCTCCGACCTCCGGCAGCTGGCACCTGCTTATTGAATGAACCGACCAATGAGTGAACAGAGAGGGTCACATCTTCCGTGGGTCCTGTTTTCCCGCATGTTCATTTCCTGACTGGTGACCGCCGGGCGAGGACCGTGTGACTCTCCCTGCTTTCATCCCGGCGGAGAAGGTGGGCCGCCATCGCTCCCAGCCCTGCCCCTCGCCCGCCACACCCACACCTGCCTCTCCCACCCCGCCCCTCAGGGACTCACACTGCAGTCGGTTCACATCAGTTTTATTACCCCCAGGAGTGGCTCTAATAACGTCCCATTTCTCTACCAGCCCCTGCAGGAGGGGCCTTGGGTGTCCTGGGCTCCCTCCCTCCAGGCTCCGTTCTCCCCACTAGGACACAGGAGTCAGGGGCTCCCACCCCGCGTCCAGAACGGAGCCCCCTCATGCCTCCAGGAGCCAGGATTTCAGGCGCCTTCTTCAGTGACATTTGACCTTGCAGACAAGCGCAGGGAGGCCTCGGCTCAGCGGGGAGTGGACAGGCGCCGGCACTCGTGCATCCGGTAGGCGCACATGTAGAAAATGCCTGCGCGAGGAGCCGTCGCAGTCGGCCGAGTCCGCCCTGACCCCGCTCCCGTGCCCAGGGCCCCGTCCCCGGGCGCCGTCTCCACTGCTCCAGCGGGGAGCCCGCCCTGTGAGACACCGCCCGCTCGCCACCCTCCCCGGTACCTGCGAAGAAGGTCATGAGCAGGGCCACCCAGCCCAGGATGTAGGACCAGGAGAAGCGCCAGTCCCCGAAGCGGCGGCCGAGGAAGCTGACGGTGACTCCGGTGTAAATGTCCAGAGCCAACAGGACGAAGAGGGCTGGGGAGAGAGGGGGTGGGGCTGGGGTGGGCGTG